GAAGTCGTTGTCGAACATAAATTGCTGTTTTGGTTTTGGGTTTCAGTGTAGTATCTTATATGGAACGAGGATTGCTTTGGTATGCATATTTGGATTGCAGGCTTTGTTCGTTTTTTGGCAGTTTTGGGCGGCAGTTTTAGGTGGGTGATGCAGAGTAACTGACGTTAAGTCAAGCAGCGAGTCTTATTGTTGCTACCAACTTAATTCGATTGTTGTGAGTCTTCGGCTACTTAGAATCTGCGTGAATAAATGTCCTTTTTTCTAGTCGTGGCATCTGTTGTCTGAACAAATACACTGTGTATTTAAAAAGAAAAGGGATTCGGCATTTTCAGGCTCAGCAGTTTCCTCACGTCTTCCATTTTCAGTGTCATTGTAGTTTGCGGCTGTTTGCACCAAGTGTTAGCTGAGAAGATTGTGATCTAAAAAGTCATTTACCGGTTGAGTCATCAGTGGAAATACAGTAGAGAAATTGACGAGTTGCCGGCTGTCACGGAGACCAGGGTCGACAGTCAGATGCTGTTGTATCTGTAAAACTAAATGACAAGTTTATTTGTTGGTTAGGAGATGACTGAGGTTAAATTTGAGCCAAGAGAAAATGAGCAGTAAAGATATTAGGACTGTGGGGTCAGTTTCATATAGATATTTTTAAGTAATCATTTTTAAAAATTGCTTTATTAGTGTATCTGTTCCATGATCGTTTCTGTAATCAAGTTATGGGTTTGGTGTTTATAGTTGATATCTGCAAAATTGTGGAGAAAGAGCAGCGAAGGAATTGACCTTGGGTACTGGTGTAGAAGCGCATTAGATAGCATATATCGTTGGATCTGAGGTGTGATGAAAATCAAAATTAGAGTGCAGTCATAAAGTTGAAAAAAAAAATGAACTGAGAATGAGTTAAGTTTGTTGGTTGCTAATGGAGTATTCTTCATGGATGAAAGTGTGTTTTTTAAAATACCATTTACTGAAAGCATCCACGGTAACCAGAAACTGCAATAATTTATGTCGACGTAGATTTCAAGTAAGTTACATGTGTCCCTCTAAATTTTGAGTTCTTATTCTTGCCTTTTTGAAATTAAAGTCAAGATTCTACTAGTTTTATGGCTTTGACGATGGAAGAAGTCGGAATTAGATTGTCTTAATTTTTTTATTGTATTTGTGTTGCGCGGGGACGGTTTTGGCACACATATTTCTATTTTTGAATACTTTGCAAGGAAAGAATGACATAAATTTAAGGGTTGAGTGCAAGTTATCGCAATTTTTCCATTGAAAATTATGCTGAAAGCTGAGTTGGATGAGTCGGAAAACTGGTGGAAAAAATGAAAATTAAAAAGATTACTGAAGATAACTTCTTGGTAAATATGATTTTTCTGTTCAAAATGGTTTACTGAAGGTTTAAAAAGATGTAAGCTGTTCTTTCAATGATCACTTTCTGGCAAAATACACTGCTGACAGTAGTATTCACTGCTTCACGACTGTTAAGGAATAATATGTCATTGACATTATTGAGAGCGATGCACTTTTGAGAACATATATTTTGTATTTGGTAACTGAAAACCTAGAAATAACTTCGTTTTTGCTATCACTGCCGCTAGTTTCACTGTTCAGATGAATATCAAGAAAAAGATGCATTTGAAAAGGTAAATTTTTAGATGAGAAGCAGAGAGGAAATTTGGCATATTACTATAAGTTCAAAGAAAAGAAAAGCACCTTTATATTTCAAACCATTTGGAATGGGTTAATTTGGTGTGATATAAAGTTAAAAGGAAGGGTTATGGTGAACTGAAAGCTACATTATATTCCGATGAAATCGTGATAAGAGAGGGGGAGAAGATGCTATGTTTAACAAATAGATTAAAAAAAGATTTACTGTATTCAAAAAAAAATTTTTTTTGGAGGAAAAAGATACATAGAAAAAGAAAACATGACAGAAAATTAAAAGGATTTTGGGTTAAAGGAAAAGAGAAACAAATAATTTACCTGTGAGAAAAGAAGAACACTGGACGGTTATATGTCGGTTGTCGATGACTTCATCGATGCTGGCAAGGGTATGGTAAAGTAGTAAATTTGTAATATTAGTTGTACAAAATAGAACATTAGTTTGATAATTAACAGTGCAGTTAAACTAAGCCTTGCCGATGGCCAAACTTGTAACTATGGTGGACTCTTTGTTTGTTCATTTTTGGAAAACAAAGAAGTAGTTCTTTTTGGGAGGCCAAAACTCCAAAAGGCTGAAAAAACAAAAAGTTTAAAACTTTGGGAGGATTGTGTCGATTTTGGGGCAAGCGATTGTGATTTTGTATTTCTTATCATTATTTTTATTCGTCTGCTTATTGTGGGACTGTTGAACAAAAGTTGTGTTCTTAATTGAATCCTATACACTGATTGAATTATTCTGTCTCCGTGTTGGCGAAACATTACATCAGGTCAGTTGTAAAAGAAATTTTATTCCTTAAGGAAGCTCAATTTTCAATTATAATCTTGTTCGGATTGTTCTATTGCTTAGTCCACGTCTTTCTCTTCTTTTGTCTACCTCCACTTTACAATTTAAAGTAACTAAAGTTGCTAATAGCTGAAATAA